AAACTTATTCGAAATCACGAAACATAACATGAACTCTAATGGTGATGGATGGGTGTCGTTCACCGCGATGGATATCACTCCCAGTCCGAACAATAATGGCAAATATTTATTGGTCTCTACCGACGATGAAAGCGGTAGAATAATCTTATTTAGAACATTCAATGACCACAACAGCATTATAAAAGATGAGATCAATGCGAATCACTCTTTGATCCAACTTGCAAACTTTTACGATGAATTCATTCCTTTCACCAATGATTCACACTCCTCTTCTCTGTCCCGAAAGCTGACGAACCCACGTGTTCTTTGGCACCCGTCCGGTAACTTCTTCTACTCTTACGGTGTAGATTCAATTATTCGTGTGTACTCTTTGCGTACAAAAAAACTAATTGATCAAGTCAGAGGACATAATGATGTGGTGAGAGGAATGTGGTATGATGATGAAAGGGATTTGTTGATTACGTGTGGATTCGATAAATGTGTCAAAGTTTGGTGTAGCGATGAGTTCTCCAGCAAGGAATTGATCAAGGGGCTAAGGGACGAAGAGGAGGAAAGGATGATGTTGGGATCGAGAAGAAATACCATTGTGTAAATAGTTAATAATATGAAATAAAATTTTAATGTCCACCTTGTAATTTTTGTAATTCAAAGTTTATGTATGAAAATAATGATGGGCCTTATGCAAAATCAAATTTCATACCTGTGATCGATTGAATAGCGCAAAATGATGTGTTCAATCTAAATAAAATCAAATTTCCTTGTTTATTACCCCGAAAAACAATTGTGAAACTTTGACCTAAAGTTTGGAATTGCGCATGTGAACAGTGTCAGTGCGTATAGTGCGATGTTGTATGACATCTTGTATTTTTTAAAAGTTCAAGGAATGATCGTAACTCGCAGTCACAAACATGCTCCCGTCGAGAGAAAATTTTGCTCTGACGACGGGTTTCTGATGATCCTTAAAAACTTGCTTGATATCCCTCGTGGAAGCGTCGACTAACGCGCAGCTCCCATCCATCGAAGCCGATAACATTAAGTTTGAGCGAATGGGATGAAAGTCGATCGCAAGAATTCCACCTTGGTGGAAGTCAAGAGTGTTGAAGGTATCACCGGTGAGCAAAGAAGTGAATTTGATGGTCTTATCCGCTGATCCGGTGATTATTGTCGGGGTAGAAGTGGTTTCATAATCATTATCAACGTAGGAAGAAGAGGCGACGTTGTGGAGGCTAATGGTAAGAATGTTTGAATTGTGAATTTGGGAAAAGGTTTCGCAGATGTATCGGGGATATGAGGAGGTATCCTCGGAGGAATATAGGTCTTCGTCAATTTTCCTGTAGAATAAATAGTACACCAAGTTTATTAAAAAAAAGAAAAAAAGAAAGAGACGTCAAGTCGCGAAAGAAGTAAGTGTTTTCTTACCTCTCGCACACATCCAAGTTATCGGCTTCTCTCTTCATGTAGTCTTGTACGATGGAGAGCAATGACCTGTTGGGCTGTATCTCGCTATTGTCTTCGATGAATTCTTTGGCTTCTTTGCGAAACTCGCTTAAAGTGTTGTGATATTTATTGGATTCGAGGAATTCTGAGATTAATGCGTGAGCAAGTGGCATAACAGTGGAGGGAGACATGTTTATTTTATTTTTATTTTTTTTTTTCACAGAAAAAAAAAAAGATTGATAATTTTTTTTTGAAGAAGAGGAAGAGGAAGAGGAAGAGGAAGAAGAAGAAATTGATGAAAAGTTTTAATTTTTTTTTTTTTTTTGGAAGAAATGAACGATCGCGCACGTTATTTTATACATTTTTCGATCTACCAAAGCGTTTGATATTACACATTACACAAGGTGATATTTCTGGTGATTGTCTAGTGATTGTCTAGTGATTGACTTTTGTTTTACATATTTATTTTTATCTAATAATATAAGGAATTGTTTTCTTCCTCCCAAATTTTATTACTATTGTCTGTTGTTTTGGCTTCAGTTACCAGAACCATTAATTCATATTGTCCGGATTGAACACAGAACGAATTGAAATTTTGGTAATGCTTCTATCTCTTATTAAACTTTTCGGGTTTGTCCCGAACGGGAAACACTTTCGGTACAACACGCGACTTCGAAATTTAGAACGTATCCTAAAAACTTCGTTCAATTCTTCATATCGTAACACCGACAAGAAAATCTTCATTAATAATAACTTCAATCCTTTATCGAAAGATCTTGATGGATGTACGAGGATAATACGGTTATTAATAATAAACCAAAGAAATTTTTTGTTTCATCACCTGCATCATAATGCCAAAATTGAATTTTTCAAGACGAATCGCGGAATTGGGGTTCTGTCATCGAACCGAGGACCAACGCACCTTTACCCATTCAACCCTTACGTTTCCAATCTTTCCAAATTAACCTCCAAAAATAAGCTTTATAAATTTTCCTTAAAAATACCTCGAAACCTATTCAGGAATTCTGAAACAAAGTCATGGATAGTCACCCAAATAATGCTTGCGAATGCTCTTGTTTTCCTTGCTTGGAAGCTCGCGGAATTAAACTACGGGGAGCACAGAAATGCCACATACTTAAATTTCATGTATTGGAATTTCACCGTCAGCGTCAATAATGTCAAGGAAGGTCGATGGTGGACGACGTTGACCAACGCCTTTAGTCACAAAGATTTCGGTCATTTCGCGGTGAATATGTATGCTCTTTGGGGATTTGGCATAGCGGTAGGTTGGATGCGTTAATGATGCTCACAATTTTTCCTTACCCACCCCCGAAAAACCATTCCATGCTCATACACTCGATAACATTCACCAGGTGTCACGGTTATTGGGAACTACCCAATTCCTGCTGGTTTATTTCGGTTCAGCTTTGACTGCCTCTTTAAGTCATCTCTCGTACACTTATTTTTATTATCCGAAGTCAGATAGCGTTAAACGTTATGCTGGTGCATTGGGTGCATCAGGTAATAAACACAACGACATCCTTCAATCTTGTGTTCGATCACCAATGATTGCACAAATTTAACGAATGCATCTTATTTCATTTTATTCCCTCCTTCTCCTTCCCCTTCCCCCTCGGCTCGACAACACAGGAAGTTTGATGGGCCTGTCTACAATTTACGCACTCAAGTTCCCGTCCTCGACATTTTTAATCTTTTTTGTAATTCCGGCCCCGGCCATAGCCGTGGTAGGTTTATACGCATTTTATGATATCTACCGGACGTGGACAAAATCTCATGGCAATGTCGGTAGTGCAGGTCATCTTGGCGGTGCGCTATTTGGATTGATCTATTATTGGAGAAAAATTAGAGGTAGAGGTGGTGGTGGTGGTGGTACTACATTAAGAAGTGTCGGATATTGGAGGGGGAGAGTGCATTGAAATTAAGGGAGGGATTTATTTGTAATTTGTTACATTACTTTGTCATCATCTGAGGAATTATCGTTGTAGGTGTCACTGCAGTTGTGTCACCCAAACATCATTGTCTACGTAAAACATCCCGTGTTCCATGCAACATAACAATACTTTAGTATTTTTGTATGCGTGTTTACGACTTTGTGTTACAACCAAAGTGCGACCGGACGTTGAATCAACTCGTAATTCTTAACACAGTATAAATTTGTTGGAACAAAGCCACACTATAATACCCTTGCGTGAATTTTTTTTTTTTTTCGAACGCTCGCGAGTCTCCACACACACACACAAAAAAAAAAAAAAAAAAAAAAACCTTCATAGTTGAAAAAGATGAGCAAAGACGACGAGTATGATTATCTCTTTAAAGGTAACGTCATCTCGAGACTGCTGAAAAAATAGGAAGGTCATCTCAACGTAATATGTTAATGAGCGTGACCATAATTTCGACCGTTTTTGTAATAACAATAAAACCGGGGTCATCGCCCAGGTGGGAGATGGTTATTAATCTGCGCTAATCTGTTAATTCCTTTGTCCTAGTTGTTTTAATTGGTGACTCGGGAGTTGGTAAATCCAATCTTCTTTCTCGTTTCACGCGTAATGAATTTAATTTGGAGTCCAAGTCTACCATTGGTGTGGAATTTGCCACCCGAAGTATTCAAGTCGACAACAAAACCATCAAGGCGCAAATTTGGGATACCGGTAATTATTTGAATTTTCCCACAGTATCATTGCTCCCCTTTTTCTCTTGCTTCTCTCAACTCTTCATTTATAACAATTATCACCTCCTTTCAACAATTATAGCCGGGCAAGAACGATATAGGGCCATTACAAGCGCGTAGGTCTTTGACACCCTACCTTTTTGAACTTGACCTCGAATATGAGTCCGAGTTAACCGCGATGCATTTGCATGTCTGTTTTCAATCAGTTATTATCGTGGTGCCGTAGGGGCTCTGCTTGTCTACGATATTGCCAAGCACGTGACATACGAAAACGTCAACCGCTGGTTGAAAGAGTTGAGAGATCATGCCGATAGTAATATTGTGATTATGCTTGTCGGAAATAAGAGTGATTTAAGACATTTGAGAGCGGTTCCCACCGAAGAAGCCAAGCAATTTGCCGGTATCATCTGTCTCCTTCACTGTAATCATGTCACTTTTGGCGTCACGAGTTTGATGATGTTAAGTCAATATTTTCCATTTTTCAGCGGAGAATAGTTTGTCCTTCATCGAGACATCCGCGTTGGATGCTAGCAACGTAGAGCTTGCTTTCCAAAACATCTTAACAGGTGATTGGCCTTCTTACTGCTGCTATGAATAACCTCTTCTCATTATTTTCTTGTCGTCGTCATTAACCCGTTGTGTGAAAATGTCATCCAGAGATATACCGCATTGTTTCTAATAAGGCCTTGGAGAACAAGGGTGGAGATGTCGCCCTGCCATCGCCCGGAGAGACCATTCAAGTAACCTTATCGTCAGATGATACAAATAAAGCATCCAGCAAATGTTGTTGATTTCCTCTTTTTTTTTTTTTCTTATCTCTTCTCTTACGTGACCTCCATGTAACATTATAATGTTCGTGTATCATTTTTGGGATTTTAAAGGTGCTCTATTTTTATATCCACACCTCTCGTGGGTATTTACGCGGGTGTGCAATAAAAAAAAAAAATGATTAGTAAATAGAAACTTTTGGTATTTGATCTGTTTGTTGTTGACGCGGCTTTACTTTACGCCTTACATTTTTATTTATTTCTGAAATGATTCCGCATTTGGATCTTGTGCTCATATCATGCGACAAGTGTTTATTGAAAGTTCTCATAGAAGTAATGTGGTGTTGAAAGCAAAAGAATAATAACGGCAAAGAAATGGGAAAATAAAAAATCCTATTTTATGCCTGTCTACATAGTAGACTGTATGCAAATTAAAATAGAAGGTGTAAAATTAAATGAAACAATTTAATTTTTTTGTAATAATAATAATCTATTTCAAAAGATCCTGTTAATAATAAAATAAAATTTTATGCAATGATAACCAAGTAAATTAAATATCTGCTATCAGTAAGTAATTCACTTATTAGCACCTAATTATTATCTATTAAGTCAAGTCCAATCCAACCAAACAATTTACCTATACCAAATTTCATTGAAAAACCTTATTTCCTCGAGTCAGGCAATATTAAATATACCATTGTCATCTATTACGAATTTTGCACTAGTTTCTTTTTTTTAACATAATAATTCGCATGCCTATAATAAAGTAGACTGTTCCATCTTCAATTTACATTCTACAGTTATTTAATTAACGGAATCAATCAGGGAATTCCTATTTTAACTTAACTAGTAATTGTTTATCGCCAGTATTTTTATAACCTTAATAATTTGGTGTTGTAATTTGCTACGGCGCGCATATCATTTAGACTATAATGATTAACTACTGCACGCAAACTAATTATACGTAGTAAGATTAGGTGTAACTGTTGTGTGCGTGCAGTAATGGTTACTCGAGCCGGTGGTGGTGTCGACGATTATTACCCAAAATCTACGTGTTGCGGAGCTTTTTTTATCTTAAGCCATACCTAATTTGATCATTGTTCTATGTTTGAAACTCCGTACAGGTCGTTTGATTGTGCCTCGTGACAGAGCCCGAATTCAACGTTGCTCCTTCCTTGTAAACAACCATTTTCAGTCTGCCAAATCAAAATTTTTATTATATAATTTTCAGTTTCCAGTAGTCTTTCTTCCATCAAAACTTTTCTTTTTTTTTTTCCTTTTTTTTTTTTCGCCACGTAACCCCCCATTCAGGTTTACAGAGGAGGTAAGGATATACGGAAAAGACGTGAACCGGTGAATCAAAATCGACCATGACTTCGACAAACAGATCTCAGAATCACAGAGGAGTTTCCAGGGAGCTAAATGTGGGAAACTACATTGTCGGAGAGGAACTGGGTCGTGGTTCTTTCGCGACCGTCTACAAAGGATATAATCAGGTAGAGTGGGCTCAACGAGCATTTTGGAACCTCCACGAGAATACTAAGGGTCTAAAATAAGTTTTTGTCTAAAATATGATTGTCAAATTACTGTAACTACTTTCACACCTCACTTTGTTCAACTATATATATACACGTCTCGATGACTCATATCAACTCGATTTTTCACCCTTATTCGTTCGAATCAACAGAAAACGCACAAAAAAGTTGCGATCAAATCCGTTTTGCGATCAAAGTTGACTAAAAAACTATTTGAGAATCTGGAGTCTGAGATAAACATCCTGAAAAGTATTCGACATGATTATATCGTCCAATTAGTTGATTGCCAGGTGGGTTTGCCTAGCTTTAGCTTTTTTCTTTTTTTTTTTTCTTTTTTTTTCTTATCCACGTGATTTAAAAAGTTTGAATCGCATCCCCCTGCTAGAAATCAGAAACTCATATACATCTAATAATGGAGTATTGTTCTATGGGTGATCTGTCGAGTTATATTAAACGACGTGGTTCACCATCACCAAAAAATTCCTCAAATGGTGGTGGCCTGGAGGAACGTGTTGTTCGTCATTTTTTAAAGCAATTAGGTATCAGATGTTTTTTTTTTAAGGTCTTGAATGCGTGGCGCCGTTTTTCTTTTTGTGAGGGAAAAGAACTCTTTGATATGGCAAATGAATGTATAAACGGAAAAGTAATAGTGTCATCCGAAGTGTGCATACCATCAATATCAAGTTTTTTTTTTTTTTTACAAAAAAGTATTATAATTTCCTAATAGCGAACGCGCTGGAATTCCTCAGGTCTAAAAATCTGATACATCGCGACATCAAACCTCAGGTACAAGAACAGAAATGATGCGTGATTTTTCTTTCACATTTAACCCAAATGTTTTAATGGGATGATGATGATGTTTTTAGAATCTCCTATTGTTGCCTCCCCCCTCGGAGAAAGATAAAGTGCCTTCTGTCGGTTCACCTGATCTCCCAATTCTAAAAATTGCCGACTTTGGGTTTGCTCGTTCGCTGCCATCGACAAATTTGGCCGAAACACTATGTGGTTCGCCACTTTACATGGCACCAGAAATATTGCGTTATGAAAAGTACGATGCTAAAGCGGATCTGTGGAGTGTGGGTGCGGTGTTATACGAAATGATCGTCGGAAAGCCTCCATTTAGAGCGCAGAATCACTTTGAGTTGCTAAGAAAGATTGACAAACGCCGCGACCGAATTAAATTTCCTGGCGATTTGGTGTCTGATTCGGATAGTATTCAATCGGATTCAGACAAGAATCCACCAAACGACAAAAGTTCTATAAGCGAAGATCTTAAAGACCTGATAAGACGTTTGTTGAAGCGTGATCCGGTCGAGAGGATGTCATTCGAGGAATTTTTTATGCACCCGTGTGTCACTGGTGAATTTCGACCGAATGACTCGTCCGGAAGCACGTCTTCAAGGGAAAAGGTTGCACAATATGCAAAAGCCAAAGAGATGATTCCAAGCAATTCTACTGCAGAGAACGACAATTCAAAACGGCACGCTAGAGACAGATCAATATCGTCACCAATACCAGTGTCATTTAAAGAAGAGGCTGGAGTCAATAAAACCACGAGAGCTCTTCAAAATCACACAAAAACAAACCTCACTCGAAGGGACTTTGATTCTTCTCAGAAAGAGACGAACGCGTTGGTCGGAGATCCCACCAATCCTTTACAGAAGAAGATATCCAGGGACAGTGTTAAACACCAGCAGACCCTTCAGCGGTACATCCTTCTTTAACTTCTCTTTTCCTTTCCTTTTTTTTTTTTTTCCCTTGTAAATGGTGCGATCTTTACACTCACCTCCGTTTGCATCATGAAAGGACAACAAAACATCAAAGCGCCGCGACCGGACCCTCACCCGACAAAGCGAATGACAACAGTGGTCTTCAAGTTCGCAAAGACCTTCAGCCTCCCTACAGGATCCCCTCCCCCTCCTTGTTGGTGCAGAACCTCAAGAGCAACGAGGATGAGGTTAACTTCTTGAGAGAGTATGTGGTGGTCGACTCAAAACGCACGGTAGAAGTCAACAAGCTAGCAGACGGTACGTCCGCCTGAAGATTTCCAATGAATGGGCGATTTCATGACCTTCCATCTAAGCCCATCGTTCAATTATATCCCGTTATCAATATCTTCTTCTCCACCCTCTATCACTTTTTTTCGAAATCCAGAAATAATATCATGTACTTCCGATCAATTATATAGAACTCGCCGCGTCGCCTAAATCGTTGGGGTTGGTGCAGAAGCATTCCAACAAAGGAACTCCCATGGGAATGATTTCTCCTTCGAGTCCTTTGGACCCTCAATATCGAAGCCCAATTTCAAATCCCTCCCCCTATGTCATCTACTCCACCACTCCGCCGTTTGCATTACCTCCTCCTTCCCCTCACGAAAGGGCTGGATCGGCGGGGAGTACCGGAAGCGCGTCATCCGCTCTTGCCAGGGCTTTATCCGGTGTATCGCTTCGTCTGTTCGGAACGGGAAATTCCCCGCCTTCATGGAGCGAGAGGTATTCGAAGCAGAGAGGAAGCGTTATTTCCCTTCCGTCTGATGCCATAGTTGGTTCACCTGAGGTGGCGTGTCGATTCAATGATGTGATGCTACGTGTCATCACAATAATCTGACCGTTATTTCTCTTTCAGGAGGCGGTGATCAAGACAATCGAAGATTTGGCGTACAAGGCTCACGTTGTTTATCAATTTGCCGAGACCAAACTCCACCAATTCATGCCTCCACGGCCTACGGCAAGCAGCGAGGTCATGGATGTGAAAACGGTGTCCGCTGAGAACGCTGCTACGTTGGCGCAAGAAGCCTTTGTTCTATATTTGAAATGCCTGTCCTTGCTTCAAGGTGCCATGGATAACGCCAAAGAGTATTGGACGAAACAAGCCGAATATTCAAGTGGGAAAGAACTATCGCCGAGGTTCAACCACGGTAATCGATGGACTTTTTTTTTTTTTTTGTCTCGCTCATTCAAGAAATGCGGGGTAACCCTTGCGAAAAAAATTTTTTCTTTTCGATTCTAATAAAATAGATGTGCAGCTTGTACGCTCACGATTCAACGAATGCCTGCAGAAAGCGGAATGTGCAAAATCCAAAATCTCAACGGAAGAGGCGGGGGCTAATAATTGCTTTGCCGAGAAACTGCTCTACGATAGGGCCTGTGAGATGGTGGGTGATTGGCATTGTTTTTCGATTGATAACCACCTTACTTTACGATTGTCCTTGTTCACCGTGAACATTTTTTTTATTATTCGTGTGCAAAAGAGTCGCCAGGCAGCAGTCAACGAACTCATGGGTGAAGATTTGCCAGGTTGCGAGATTGCATATCGATCGGCCATTTATATGTTAAATGCTATTTTAGAAAGCACACCCGAGGACGGAGATTCCCTAGACGAAGACGACCGGCAGGTCGTAAATAAATGTATGTTCAGATTCATTTTTTTTTTTTCTTTTTGCACTCGAGTCATTCAGCCGTCTGGTTATTTACAATCTGATCTCTTTACTCGAAGTTATCACTGAGATAACAAGGCGACTTAAATCCCTTCAGAAGAAGCTGACCCAATCAGAAGTTTCGGCGATTTCAGGTCATCAGGGGAGTCCTGGGTAGCAATGAATAAACCCGATTCGAGATGCAATTAGTGAACTACTAACACTCACTACCCCTATGAAAATAAGAAACTTTTCTAAGGAAAAAAAAAAAAAAAAAAATTTTTTTCTTTTTTTTTTTTAAAAATATGGATACCATGCAATTTAGCAGTCATGTCCTACCAATTTAACTTCAATTATTAAAAAAAAAAAAAAAAAAAAAAAAAAAAAAAAAAAAAAAAATCCAAAAAAAAAGATGATGACAATTATCCCCTCGTTTGAAATACCTTTCACATTCGCCCCTATTTATATACAGTATTTCCTGTCACATAGAGTTCGTTGATAATATAAGGTATTTGTACAATAAACTATATGTATTAAATACTATGTAATATACTTTATAATTTATAAATTAGGTAGTACTTTGATCTCCGAATGAATGTATTATTCAAATTCTCTTTTTTTTATTTCAATTCGCAAGCTGCCTTTTTTTTTTTTGATCATGTTTTAGAATGAATGCTGAAATTTTCTTAGAATTCAAAAAAGTCAGGGAGATGAAAAGATGATTAGGCTTTATACAGTATCCGATTTTGGAGAAATTTACAGTGCTTGGGAAAAAATTACAATGGGAGAAACGAATTAAATAAATATATTAAGATTCACGTATCTAAGCACAATAGGGACATCTAAACTTAAAATTAATTAAAAGAATTCATGTGAATGGAAGTGTGGTGGATGTTTCTAAGAATTCATTAATCTATAATGATAAGATTAATAATCTAATTGATCGGGTGAGCACCTGATAACATGATGATGTCATCCTTACGCGCAAAAAGACCTCGCCATTGAGAATGGCTCGATCACATGAAATGATTTTGTCCTAGGGAGTGGAAAATGATTAAATAAAACTTCACAATCTATCTTTTTCTTTTTTTTTATCTATCTATTTATTATCATTATTATTATTATTATTATTATTATTACTGTTGCCGTTAATTTTCCGACTTGATCGTTTTTTCCGATGATGCGACGAACCCTCTTGCGTGTACCGACGGGATCTGGGTTTCTAAGTCGTATCGTCACAGATGACCCAGTTATCACCATCCTCATCATTTTCATCTTCGAAATCTGTAAATTTGAATGATTGATGAACGCACGAATCACCCGTTTTTAGAATCACGAGATAGAAGGATACGGCACCTTGTTCGATGTAATTATTTATGGACACAACAGGGATGTTGCTGTCCATAATTTCATTTCCGTTTCTCCGTGCAAACATGATACGCACCACCTCCTCAAAATCCAGGCTAAAAGATTGATCGAGGATCCGATTCAAAGCAGTAAGATGCCCCGAACTTGGACACCGTGAACAATAACAAATCAATTGTCATTACAAATTTCCATGAAAGTTTAAATGCTGATTCAACGAATTCATAGCTACCGTCCGAGATTTGGCGCCTGACAGCAGAGATAGAGGTTTTGAAGTGTATGAGGAATTTTGTGAAAGGCAACCTCTACGCCTTGGGTGTAACATAAATATGCGATGTTATAATTGAGCATCGCCATTCCGACTGTAAAAACTTCCAAATTGTGATCGTTCAACACAAGTGGCATTTTACTAGTGTCACACGCAATGTTCAATTTCAAAAGTTAGCAAGTTAATTAAAAAAACAATGGGTCAGAATGAAATTCCGCAATGCGTTCGAAGCAAACCTTATTGGGATTCCAGGCACAGATCCCTTGGTGTACGACTTGGAACCCCTATTGACCATCACGAATGGTAGCTTAACTCCGAGGTAATAAGCGACCAATCCCAGCATATGTATTACGTGTCCGACGGCTGCATTCGTGTCCGCATAAGGGTATCCTATTAATCGCCATCGGTTGATTGAACGGAAGGAGACGTGCGAACGAGATGAGTGACATATGATCAGGTATATTACTCACTGATGAAATTGGCTTCCTTCGGTAGTATCATCCCGGCTATCGCATATTCATCGTCGTCATCACTAATTTCAGTCGCATCGTCCTTCTTACTATGCTTCGATGGGTCTGATGATGCTTGCTTTAAGTCGAACAGTGAAACTAGTTCTGCGATCAAAACCTTTCTCGAATGTGTTAGAACTTGGTGCACATGACACCACCTCTCCTTGGTATTTTCCACGTCCTTCACAACCAGAGCCTCTTGATGTGACTTGTACTTTTTAAAATAAGCGAGCGATTCCTGTAAAACCTGCCTCCTGGTCTTAATATTTCGTCTCAAGATGTCAATTTCTTGACGATCTGGATTTGGTCACAACCCTCAAAATTAATATCATTTAACTCATGATCACATTGGCGCGGCGTCTTCAACCTTTACCTCGACCAATTTCTTCCTTCTTCTTGTTGATCTCTTTTTCAAGGCTATTTAACTTTTGAACTCTGCTATGCTTATCTGCCAAGCCTACTTGGAAATTTCTTAACGTTCCAGTGACATATTTATTTGCTTTTTCCAAATTCCTCTGCTTTTCAAGTGTGATCTGTTTCATTTCGTTATTATGTATGCGCAGCCTTTAACAATAATGAAGGCAAAGGTGTACGGTGAGAATGGAACGAAAAGGAGCAACGATTTCGTGGTGAAGTTAATGGAAATACCTTTCGCGAAGACACTTTGCACAACAGAACTTGTTATGATAATTATGACATATTTGGCACTCCATTGTGAAATTAAAAAAAAAGACGTGTGAATCAAGGGAAAAGAGGTGGATGACAAAAGATTTTGAACTCAAAAATATGCACGCACGTATTTTCATAGTTTATCGTATCACTGATTACATAATACACCAAAATAGGTTAATCGGCTATGGTGCGAATGTCAGGCACACAACCAGTCCAAAACTTTCCCTCAAAAAATTCGATTCGTCAAATTATCATATGGAAAAAATGGCGGAGATTCCCCTTGCATGCTACGACGAGGCACCAAACAGAATTATTCCACCAAATCAGTTATTCGCCGTCGAATATCCCGGATACGTAAAAAACATTGATAAAGTTTTGCAAACTCTCGGAGGACAGAGGGGTTTGAAAAAGGTGAATTAAAAGGTTTTGTCGACTCGTGAAATTGTTACTCATCGAAATTGTATCGATCTTTCTCGCTCACCTCACTTCTATTGCTTGCTCGTTTGAAGGCGGTAAACGAGGATCTCATGGAACTTCGATTTAGACCCGGTGATCCGTTCTGCCATCCTATCAACGGGGATGTTATTCCAACTTCAAATCTCTTACTCAAGGTAACCTGGAAACGAAAAAAGCGTAAAAGCCGTTTCTCACAACATATCTCGGATGATCAGACTGGCAATGAAGGTATAAAAGGAATCGACTTTAAAGTGATTGGGATCATCAGTAAAACATGCCGCTTCCGAGGTAAGACCACGAATAAATTTTCACGAGATTGTTGAGAGGAATCTAACTTAATTTTATCCTAGGCATGGCCGATTACCAATTCGTTCCCAATCCCAACGACACCATTCCAAAATACAGGAGGACACTAGAGAATTTTGACGGTACGTAAGAATAACGAAAACCTCGTGGTAGTCAAGATCACAATCAAATATGGTAACGCGCACCCGTGTTCCACCGGGAGTCCCGGTTTTATACCCGAAAAATAATCCGAAATGCGATTGACCTTTCATTGAATGATGATGATGACAGTTGACAACATCATGGATTTTGATTCGATTATGAGCGGTGAAAATCCAGAGGATAATCTTCCGCCGCCGTCATTCTCCCGCATAGAGTGTCCCATGGAATATGGGTAATTAGATTTGTGTTACCCTGGAAAGCGACTATACTTTGAACATTCTCATTCTGACCCGCAAAAATTTCTAGATATCGTCAGAATATGGCGGTTGTAAAAGTTCTGATTCAAAAGGGGGATGGTCAGGTCAGGTACAATGTGTCAAGCTTGTCACCTGCATTCAGTACGTCAATTATCCAATTATTAAAATCCATGTTCGCATACCTCTAGCCGCCAGCCCTTAAGCTCATCAACAGAAGTCGTCGGAAGAAATATGTTTCCCTCTCGATTAGCTTTGATGCGGAAGATATCCTTTGACATGATTACATAACGCTGTGTTCCACAGATAATCAAAAAAATACTCCCTTCATCATTCCTTAAGACTTCTCACCTGTTCCAGATGCACCACCGCCAGATTCCGTCAGACATAGACATTTGGCGTCCCCCGAGAGCGTCTCCAGGATACAAAAAGTAAATTCTCATTGACTTTTAGCGCGAAATTAGGCAACCACTGATTTACCTGATCTTTCAGTTGTTCTCGGAGAGACCGATATGGACAAGGCTGGCGCTATTGGGTAATTTACCGTTATGCGATAGGAGAATTGTAAAGATGTGAGTATCGAGATATGAAGTATTAGCGTGTCCGTTCGGATAAATTAATTTGTCGTTGCGACCCACGCAAGGTTATTGCCATTGGTCTCTTACTGGATGTTAAATGGACCGTGGCGCGATTGTTGGATTCGTTATGGATATGATCCACGAAGAAACAAAGAGGCTAGGTTGTATGTAGATTTTTTTTTTTTTTTGAAAAAAAAAAAAAAAATGAAATGAATAAATTTATTTAAAGCCTCGTGATGATCTTGTGTCATTTTTCCCTAGCTACCAGCTTCTTGACATTCGGAACACGAGACGACCAACTAGACTAGACAGGGCGAAACGCCTCCTTCGTGTTCAAGGGGAATCAACAACAGATTTGTGCGGACTTCCTCATATGTCAGATGATGCCACCAAGTGAGACTAATCTTATCTGATGATAAATCTTGAAACTTGCTTGATCACCCACTAAAATGACACTTGAACTCAGTTCGATTCCTCGGAAGACACACATTTTTGATGGCCACACCACAAAGCGAGATATAGCGGTTTTCCAGATGTGTGACATAACGGATCCTCTTTTAAAGAATTTAATAGAATCGCCTGATGCCGTGCAGGAAGATTGTACGGTACGTTGTATACGCATCATCATATTTTCTTTGACTATATGAAAAACTAATTACACTTGATATTTCCACCAATGAGGAACGAGATGGGCATTACAAGCAAGATGCATTGCTGAAAATGCGAAAGATAATGAGAAGGAAATTTAAAGCATTGATTGAAGGTAAAACTTTGAAAGACGAAGATTTCGAAGATCTGCTACGCGAAGATCATTTGGGAAATGACGATGATCATGAATGCGAGGAACCAAGTGATACTGAAGGCGAATTCGAGGAAGATCCTCTTGAAGATAGGGTATATATACAATATATATATGAATTCGCTTTCATCCTATGATAAATAATTGACCTCGCACAATTGCGATTAAGGTTTCCGATTTGATGCGCAATCTCCAACGTTCGCAGCAACAATCCGTTGAGCATGAAGGTATACAGTTTTTAGGTGTTCACACAACGTCTGATAGAGTAATTCATCGATTTGTTTAATTACACGTGATAGATGAGTTGGTGCAAGATGATGAAGGAATTTTATACGAACCAGAAGACCTAAATGATTACGAAGATATATTTGGAGATAACGACAGTGATTATAATGACGATGAGCTGGATGACATTCAATGAGTCCTGCAAAAAAATGAGAATACGTTGACACGATTGATAAATGCATCTTTCCCTGTATAAACATATATTTTTTAAAGTTGTTTTCCCAATAATAATATTTTTATTTGCATGATTGAGAGGAGTGATTAATGACCATACAGTAACTATAACATCTCAATATGGGAAATCTTCACACGCCACAACGAATGAGATGATGAAGCATGAAAAATAGATAACGCGTCAATAATATAACTTTATTTAGAAACGACAATAAAAAAGCCTGATAGTGGATGTCATTTTATTTTTAAACTTAATGTCATGTTGACCTTAATTTATTTAACCATAAAAACTTACGTAACTGATATAATACTACTGCTTATACTGTATACTTGTAAAAATGGATCACTTAAGCCTCTAGGTTTCCTGGATTACCTGATTTATAATAATATGTTACATCTTATAAAGTGATCAAAGAATATCAAAAAAATAATTATCCAATAATATTAGGAATTATTTTTATTGTATTTTTTTTTTCTTCTTAAACAGTAAAGTTCTTTAAATCAAATTTTCAAACAAAATTATTTTGATAAATTTTATTAATTATTTCAAAAAGATAATTTTTATTAATTATTTCAAAAAGATAATTTAGGCATGAAAACTTGTTTCAATAAATTTGATTTGGATTACTTTAAAAGATTTTATAAATGCACCTAGCTTTATGATAATAGTAATAAAAATTTTAAAATAGAATTTCTTATAAATACTATTGTTAAAATTGTTTGATGTCTTGAATAATATTCAATAGTTCTTTCAAATAATATAAATTGATCAGAGTAACTATATAACCATATTGTTATATACTATATATTACTTAATTATCAAAAGAGTAATTTTAATATTATTTTTTATTGGAACAATAGATTGTGTAGGATTTATATCAATTTAAAATAAGTTTTATTTAAAATGAATAATATATTTATTTTGAGTAAATTCAGTTTCCTTATAACTAATTATTGAAAGTTAAGTTTAAAAATTTTTGATAAAAATTTGTCATATGGCTTGATCTTTATTGAGAAGTTATATAACTATTTACAATATTACAGATTTTTCACATAATAACTAACTTATTGTTATATCAAAATACTCTAAGTTAGGTCTAAAAGGCAATATTTCACTTCCTTGAAGGATTGATATATAATCTTTATCTATTAGATTCATCATTAACAGTTTGTTACTATAGATTGCCCATAAATCATAAATTATCAAGTTAAGAAAAAAAGGAAAAAAAAGAAATTGAAAAAAAAGAACAATTTAAGATCCCATCAAAAAAGTAAAAAAAAAAGCAATTCTTCTCTTAAAAGGAATCTACATAATTGAAATAATCTTCTTGCTTCTCTTGAACTTCAGAAGAAATCTTCTTTATCATCACTTATGATATTGAATGAATCAATCAATTGATCTTTCATTTAAATAAACATCAAATTGAAATATCTCAAGAAAAATATTTAGACCTCAGCTTTTACTCATTAAAGTTTTATCATTACTTGAGAAACTTAGAGAAGAGATAGGAACTTGCAATTCATATTACCCATTTCTTAGTTTTTTAATATTATGATATC